CCATTCTCTAGTGTTAATATATTGTTCATCTTGGAATGACCAAAATTTGCAATTCATTTAAAGGAAAAAAGATATCTTTTTTCTTTTACCTTTTTCTGTCATCTTGCTTAGCAAGAGAATTAAACCATTTATGATAAGAGAGATATATTAAGATTTCAAGACTACTACGGGTTACCTTTGCCATCAATTGTGCTAGTGAAACATTCGGTGGAAACATGAACGAAATAAATAACTTGAGTTCTACACCGAGCATGATTTCACGCAGCAACAATAACAAAGTTCAGAACTCTTGCACAGAATATCTTAGTTCAATAAAATAACTGCTACAAATGTCGATATATTTTTTATCATAAGACTTCCATATGTCCAGCAACACATCACAAAAGTTGAAACAACTAAGAAAAGAAAAGAAAAGCATATTGGAGTTTTACTTGAGTTGCCGGAGGAGAGATGCCAACCTAGCCTCGATGAGATAAGCAAATCTGAGGAGATATGTTGCCAGCAGAGGTGAGGAGGAATCGATCTCCAAAGTTGAAAGCCATGAAGCCTCCGCTGCTCGCTCTCCAGCAAATCAAAAGAGGTGGGTCGAGTAGAAGAAGACTCAAACGCACAGAGCAGTGAGAAGAGGTAGGCACTAGGCAGGTAGCTAGCCGATAGGGAGTGCCGGAGGCCAGAAGTGGTGACCGGTTGAAGGTGAGAAATGAAACTGGGCAAAACGAAACAGAGACTTTGAAGGTGCGATCTGCGATGTCGATGGGAAGTGTTGGAGTGGTGATTAGTTGAAGGTGAGAAGTGAGAAATTAGGCGATGCCGATGGCCGATGAGGATGACCGGATGCCGGATAGGGAGTAAGAAATGAAATTGAGAAGGCGAGAAGCCGAGAACTGAGAAAGCAGCTGCAGCTTGCAAAAGTCGACTCTCACCATGAAAGAAAGAAGGCCAGAACAGATGGGGACATGGGGTTAACTAGTTAGGACTTAGGCTGTTACTCTTTACATGGTTTAGGCTTAATTTTTTTTTGGCCCATAGGGCTAACCCGTACCAACCTTGGTCAGCCCCCTAATCAAACGGGCCAACCCATTTAGGCTCAGTTCTAATATGTGTCTAAATTTTCAAGCCCACCCTACCCCATATTTAATAAAAAATGGGCTAACCCCATGGGCCAAGCCCATTTTGACAAGTCTAATAAGTTCCATTCCCAACGGAAGCAATTGCTAAAGGGAGATTGTTGGGCGCTTGTGTATGCTGAATGCACTATAAGGCTAAAGTATGTGCCCTTTTTATCACCAATTGGTTGTAAGTAAAATGGTAGCACTTAAGGTTCTACAACACTTAGACAATATACCATATGCAAAAAAGTCATTAATGGTCCATAGGAATGCTGCTCATAGAATAAAATTTTGGTGAGTAAAGGCATTGTATGTGACCACACCTTCATCCCATAAAATTTTTAACTCATCCATCAAAGGTTGGAGGAACACATCAATGTTCTATCCGAGACTAGTCCTCTCCGGGATAACCATACTTAGTGGAAAGTTATAGACCGTAAGCATTACCGGCCAAATAGAATACGATTTCATTATCAGTCTGAAAGGATTGAAACCATTTAAACATAAAACGAGTCTAACATTGTGAGGCTCAACGGAAAAATACTGATGTGTGAGATTAAAGTGTTGCCAAGCCTCACCATAAACTAGATGCCTAAGCACTCCATCATTTGATTGGTGTGTGAAATGTCATGTCATGTATTCTGTAGTTTTTGTTGACATATATAGCCACTACATTCTTGGTGTTAATGGAAAGTATCACAAAATCTTATAAGAAAAATTTTCTCTTTTTTTCTCCATGATTTATTCGGTTTATACCAAGAATGACCACAACATATAAAATAAGACAACTTGGAATATTCATTATAAAACAACATGCAATAATTCTTACATGTATGAATTTTCTAATAGCCAAGCATAGGTTCTTTCAAGTGTGTCTTTATTTTATAGAAGTTTTTTGATAATGATTCATCCAATGGCAACATCTTCCTCACTAGATGCATTAGATGATTAAATCATGCCTTACTCATGTTAAACTCTAACTTCACATTCAGTAATTAGGACATAGTTGATAGTTTTGTGTGTTATTGCATCTGTCTCACAAAATTGCATCAGCATCATTTAACAATGAAAAGTAGGATGCAACATCCAAATTTGGATCTTTGGGAAAGACCGGCTCATTTTGAGTCTCATCATTGAATTGAAACTCCAATCGTAAAGCATCCATAACTATTTTAGCATATGAATATTCTACTTTGACCTCATTAACTACTTCATTCTACTCATCAACAAAATATCGTGATGATTTTTTTGCATGGAATGATTCACCATGTGCATCCTATATTGTGTACGCATTAGTAAACCCTTTACGAAATAGGAGTTCTCAAACCTTATCAGCAACTAAGCACTTGTTATTTATACATCAAGAATAAGAACATCTGATCTTATTCTTAGTCATATATATTGGTTGATCGAATGCAAATGAAATAAATTCATCTATGCCATTCATAAATTTTGTTTTAAGAAATCCACTTGAATCGACTCGAGATTATATCAAACTCTTATCTCATTCCTTTTTGAGAAAAAAAATATTATAACAGACATATGATATTGCCTATTAGTAGATATTAACAAAAATATTAATTAAAAACAAAAACCAATTTAAGTACTAGAATTATCAAATATATAATATTATATAATTAATTTAATAAAATCTTAATTAATTTACATAATTTTAAATTTTACTAAATTTACTAATTTATGTAATTGATAAATTACTAATACATGAATCTTTTTAATATAAATTTAATAAATATAATCAAATTATTTCATGTTACATAGTAATTAGTAAATTAATTAATTTAGTCACTTATTTAATTAATCATTACAAGCTTAATAAATTATTCATTTTATTTAAAATCTTTTTAAAAAACTAGAATTCCATTTCCAAATGTTAATTTTAGTTAATTAATAAAAGTAGTTATTTTTAAATTTTCAAAATTACGTATTTAATTAATTAACATGGTCCTCTACCCACGTCTATTACTGACACTTTTGTCCACCCCATTAATTCATATATTTGCAATCCTAAATTGCTCAAGTGAATAATCATGTATCCCACGTTAAAGGAAAGATCACTACTACTTCAATGATTTCAAATTCAAAAGAGAATGAATCCAACCTTGTTCTAATTGCCTTTTAAATTATTAAATATTACTTATTTAATTAAATACATCCGTAATAAATTGTTGATTTTGTTTAATTAATAAAATTAATAAATTAGTTAGTAATAAAATGTCAATTCAATAACAATAATCAAATAATTTCATGTTAAATCGTAATTAGTAAATTAATAAATAAAATATGAATTTTAGTTTATTAATAAATGTAGTTGCTTTGAGAATTTCATAATGATTTTACCCTGACCATCCCTTAAAACTCCTCCAATTCCTACCTTCTTCGGATTGTCAACTGAAACTCCACCAACATTAAATTTAACCCATTCTGTTTAAGGTTTCAAACATATAATTTGTTTACTTATTTTTTCCAGTTTCTGAATTGGCCAAACTAAAGTTGGGTTTCTAAACACATCATCCACTAAAATTATTAACTTTGGCCACTTTAACTTTACTCCAAACTACGATTTGAAGTTTAATCAAGTCATAAATCAGTCTAATGTCTCAAGTTTTCCCATTAGAAACAATATCGTATCGAAATAACCAAACGAACTAGGTTATAGCGTAAGACGCAAACAACTAAAATTTCCTTTTACCGTCATTCATCCCAATATCTCTCCATGCTAGGAAAAATTTTTTAGGACACCCAATAAACACCCTAATTAGAGAACTATATATTGCGCAACCTCTACATTTCATGGCATGAAAAGAAAAGATGGGAAATAGTTTCAGAGTCATTGTTGCATAAAACACAAATTGCTTGATCAACATTAATTAAATTTCTTTTCACCAACTCCATTTTGACTGCAATTTTTTCTCACATCAATTGCCGTTCAAATATTTCAACTTTATATGGAGCATAACCAAGCCATATTCTTTTCCAGAGTTCATCACGAATTGCTAGCAATTTTACAAAATGACTAGGAAGGAGACATACCACAAGGCATAGCTTTCTATATGATTCCATCCTTGAATCCCTCACCCAATGTACATTCCTTTAAATAGCTCCACAATAGTGTTCAATGCTCGAATTTCCGTCAAAAAAGTTACCTTCTAAGTTCGATTTGCCATTGCCAACCATCATCTGTCCATTGACCATACTCGCATAATCTTCTTTCCTTATTCATTGCTAATGCAAATAATCTTGAGAATTCTACTTTTAGAATCATATCTTCCAACCATGCATGACGCATCATTCCAAAATGAGATTAATGACCCATCACCTATGACAACTCCCAAATTAGCTTTAACCTACAAAAATAAAAAAATACTTGTCAGTAAGCAACAATGGAGAATTAATATTTTTCCAATTTTTCCTCAACTCTATCAAGAAAAGGTTTCCAAATCTTAAGAGATGATAAGCAAGGTCCCAAGGATAGACCCAGTAAATTATTAAATTTTACTTATTTACTTAAGTATATCCATAATAAATTATTGATTTTATTTAATTAATAACATTATTTAAATAATTAGTAATAAATATAATTTTAATAACTACAATCAAATTATTTCATGTTACGTAGTAATTATTAAATTAATTAATTTAGTCACTTATTTAATTAATTATAACAACCTTAAGCAATTATTCATTTTATTTAAAATATTTTTTAAATAGTAGAATTACAAATAAAATATGAATTTTACTTAATTAATAAAAGTAGTTTGTTTCAAGGTAAATTTTCACAATTTGTTTTTAATTAAATAACATAATAAATACTATTTATTTAATTACTTTTTAAATTATTAAATGTTATTTAATTAAATACATCGCTAATGAATTATTGATTTTATTTATTTTAAAAAATACGTAATTTTATTCCAATATGTCAAAACTAAAAATAAACTTTGGACTTAGATTTACAAGAACATAAAAATGAGAGCAAAATAAAACCCTATGCAGGAAAGACCCAAAACAGAAAATAATCCCTGACTAGGTAAGACTGCAGATCATGTCCAGAATTCTTAATAGCATTATCTTGTGGGCAATAGACTCTACCAAACATCCTTACTGCCATAACAGCAACATCAATCCAATGACTGAAAACAAGCCGCCAATCATGTCCAACTTGAATACTGAATGACAATTACCAAGATTAGAGCAAAAACACCTGTCTGATTACAATAGATATCCAGTCAAGGCATAACTTGGTTCCTATCTGAATAAAAGCAGTAGACACGTCCCATCTATCCAATAACGTATACCCATCACATTCAACGTTTCACTTATTCAATAGTCCTAAAAAATTGAACTAGTGCCTGCCTGTTATCAACTTTTTCTTTAGTTAGTAAGTCTGCTTGACCATTAGCTTCTCTCAACATATGTGTAACCTTCCGTTGATGAATAATCTTTTGAAGATAGCCTAATTGTATCATATTCGGTCCACAACGCCATGGCGCCTTGGAAGGATTATTTAACCATGTCATTGCATTCCTGGAGTCACTCTCTACGTATAGGTTTAATTGTGAATTCCTTAGGAACTTAATGAACAAGACAAAAGCTTCTTTGATGGCTATAACTTATGCAAAATTTGCATCACATATCCCCACAAACTTAGAGAATTTAATAATACTATCATCCTTATGGTTTTGCAAAATTTCCTAATTCCTGAATTGCTCGGGTTACTAGTTGAAGCACCATTCACATTAAATTTGACCTAACCCAACAAAGGTGCCTTCCATAACGTAATCCCCTTGACCAACTTTGATTATAGAACTATGGAAACAAGATTCAGATTTCTGAATATATCTTCTTGTGATTCTTTTCATTCAGGCCATTTAGCTTTACTCCACATAGCTAATCCTCAAATTAATCAAGTCATACAACTGCTCGACATCCTACCTTTTCCTATTGAAGAAAATATCATTTCTGAATAACCAAATTGACTAGGTTATTGCATAGAAAGCAAGGGTCCAAATTTTCAGTTTATCCTTGTTGAAACACACAAAAGTCCACGCAAGAAAATAATTCTAGATATTAAAAAAAAAAAACCCACCTAAAGTCCGAATCTAAGAACCATAAACGCAATAAATGCCAAGACTCTTCACAAGTAAAAAACAAATGATTGAAAATCTCTGGATGCCTTTTACATAAGACACACAACGATTGATCCTCTCAAATCAAATTTCTTTTAACTAACTTAGTTTTAACGGTTACTTGTTCCCACATCAATTGTCATACAAATATCTTAACCCTAGAAGGGGCATACCCTAACCAAATCTTTTTCTATAAGTCAATTTCAATAGAATGAATCATACTAACAACTTTGCAAAAAGACTTAGCAGAGAACATACCCTTAGGAGTAGCTTTCCAAACAATGACATTGCTAAGTCCTTCTCCCAATGTAAAATCTCTTAAGTGACTCTACAACTATGTCCATTTTTCATACTCCCACCCAAAAAATTACCTTTTAAGTTCAATACGCCATTGCCATTCTTCATCCATCCATTGTCAAAACTCGCAGAGTCTACCATTTTTATTTTGAGCCAATGCAAAACATCTAGGAAATTCCAACTTTAAGACTAAGTCCTCCAACCATGCATCATGCCAAAAATGAATTGATTTTCCATCCTCTATAGTCACTCCTAGATTAGCTTTAACCTGCAAAAAGACTTTGTTAGTAGACATTAGTGGAGATATAATATGTTTCCATACCCTATAGCAATTACGAGACACAATAGCTTTAAGCAATAAGGCATTCAAATCATAATCAGTCTTAGCTGTCACAATTTTCCTCCATAGATGCTCTCTTTCATTCCCATACCTCCATATCCATTTGGTTAAGAGACTTTTATTCTTGGTTTCAAGATCGACCATGCCTAGGCCCCTCTTCTCCTTTTCACGGCAAACGATATCCCATCTAATAAAATGCACCCTTTTGTTATCATTTGCACCTCCCTAAAGAAAACATCATTGAAGCTTTTCAATCTCATCTTGGATTCCACGTGAAATTTTAAATAAGGACATGAGGTAAATAGGTAAACTATTAATCACTGATTTCAGAAGGGTACTTTACCCCTACGAGATAAAAGTTTAGCTTTCCACCCTTCTAGTTTATTCTCCACTCAATCCACAAGAGGTTTTCATATTTTCAAAAAGGCTAAATTCACACCCAATGGAAGGCCCAAACATGTTGTCGGAAGATTACCAACCTTACAATGTATTTTAGATGCCCATAACTCCAAAATCTCCATTTCCACTCCAACACCAGATAAACAACTTTTCGTAAAATTAATCTTAAGGCCAGACATGATTTGAAAGCTTCTTAACACACGTTTCATATTGAGGAGCTCTTCAAGATTCGATTTGCAGAAGAGAAGAGTATCATCCGCAAATTGCAAATGTGTCATGTGCAAACCTTTATTACCCATTGGCATACCTTTACAAAAACCAATATCTCGCACCTTCCCCATCAAACAATTGAAGACTTTAACAACCAGATTGAATAAAAAGGGAGATAGAGGATATCCTTGTTGCAACCCTCTCGCAATATAATTGGTTTTGTCGATGACCCATTCACAACGACCAAAACTGATACAGTTCTCACACAACTCATTACCTATTTACACCACCTCCACCCAAATCCCATTTTTTCTATAGTAAGCTTTAGGAAATCCCAACAAACATTACTATAAGCCTTCTCAAAATCTACCTTTAGCAGTAAACTCTCATCACAGTTCTTGTTCATAATATCCACTAACTCATTGACTGTTAATGCAGAACTTAGAATCTATCTCCCAGAGATGAACGCAAATTGATGTGCCCCTATAACCTCCCTAATAACCTTTCTCGATCTATTAGCCAACAGTTTCGCTATTAGTTTATAAATACTTCCAACCAAATTGATAAGTCTATAGTCCCCAATTGAGGTAAGATTCTTCTTTTGGGGAATCAAAGTGATAAAGCACTTATTCACTTCATGTCCTAAACACCAAGTATTATAGAAATTCTAGACAAACTCCATGACATCCCCTTTGATCGTAAACCATTAAGACTTGAAAAAATTCAAGTTAAAACCATCAGGCCCAAGATCCTTGTTACTATCACTTTCTTTGACAATATCCCATACCTTAGATTCCAGAAAAGGGTCTTTTAGTGAAAAAGTAGGTTCCCCTTTTAAGGGCCTAATGCCACATTGTGAGTTTGCCACTTTCAAAGTTCTTCTACTGGAAAATAAGTTCTAAAAATGTTTCAAGACTTCCTTTTTAATTAAACATGGCTCCTCAACAATGTCACCATCCAGTGAAATGCTTCCCAAATTATTCAGTCGTCTCCTATTAGAGGCCATAGCATAAAAAGATGGGTGTTTCGATCGCCTTGTGAAGCCCATCTAATCCGAGAGTATTGTTTCAATTTCCTCTTTTTTGAGGCCCATAGTTTTGCCTTATTAGAAATGATCCTTTTGTTCATACTAAAATCAAAACAATTTAACTGCCAAACCGTCTCCAAATTTGGGATTTCTACTTCCGACATCGCAATTCTCTTTGGTGCCACACCATATCGATCCTTATTCCACTTTTTTATTATTAGTCAAATATTTTTCAAACGCCCCAAATTTTCAGACTTTTATTATTTCTATTCTTTAACTGACTCCAATTATCTCTAATAAAATCTTGAAAGGAAATATAGTCGAACCAATAATTAAAAGAACGTAAAGGTTTAGGACCCAAAATTATTGATTTTATTTAATTAATAAAATATACCAAATTATTTCATGCTAAATAGTAATTAGTAAATTAATTAATTTACTCACTTATTTAATTAATTACATACTAAACCCTATTGCAAACATAACATGATAAGCAAAACCTTAACACAATTCCCTAAATACTTCAAACTTATATTAAACATATTATGTAATATAGCATTATACCACAAAACCCAAAATACATTAAATATTTGCATTTTTCATCAAAACCAACACTTAAAACAATCAACACATTTTCTTTTGAACAATAGCAATTCATTCAAACCAATCTACAGAACAATACCCAACTAAACAATTTGTAGAACAATCTATTCAATATTCAACAAACTAAATCCTAAAGCCTTCACGTCCTAATACCCAACATTCAATATTCAATATTCAATATTCAACAAACTTTGCAGCCATAGAACAATATTTAACACATCATCCTTAAACCAAATTAGGCACAAAACCAGGAACAAATTCTAGGATGGAATTCAAATTCTAGGATGAAATTCAAAAGAAAAAAAAAGGTTAAGGGTTTACATCATTAGCAACCTTACTTGGGCTATCGAAGGATGAAAGGTCGAACGGGAGAAGAGAGATGGTCGAATGCGAGAGGAAATATGGCCGACCGATCTGGAGAAGCAAAACGGATTGCCGACCGGAGGTGGGTTGGAGGTAGCTGACACTGGGGACTCTTCAATCTGACAGGACAGCTATCAATCAAGGACAACTAGGCAACGGTGGTTCAGATGCGAAGGGGTAGTGAGAGACAATAGTGAAAGAGAAAGGGAAAAATGGGGGAAAATCCAAATCGAGACTTAATATTTAAACTATAGACAGATTTAATATAAAATAACAATACTGATGAAATAACCAACGAAAATACAATAGATATGTAAACAATGAAGACACTGATGAAAATTTCGTCAGTAAATCTGTCGCTAACGTATCTCACATGAGCAAAGGCATTATTGACAAAAAATCTATCGGTAATTCCGTCGACATCTTAATATCTTCACTGATTGATGCTTTCATCGACAACGTTGGTCGGTAAATTCCGTAGTTAACTACTTTATCAATGAAATTTTGTAGTCAGTAAACTTCGCACACCATTTATTTGAAAAATAGTTAGTACACCGGTCTGTCGACATTTTTTCCAGCAAACACTTTTTTTCATTGAAAGACACTTGGCAATCAACGGAAACTTTATATATCATCAAATTCGTACTCATATAAAAGATTAATAATATTAATAAGATATTAAATATATAAAAAATATATATTAATAATAATAATGATGTTATATATATATATATTTATATATAAAAGAACAAACGTCAAAATTTGAAACAGATTCCAAATAAACTTTGATGCCATCGTAATTTTCAAGCATTATTAATTTATTCTTTACATGAAAAATAAATGATTAAATTAATAAATTTATAAATGATATATGCACTCAAGTATTTGATTCATTGGTTGGTGCATGATCCTTTATTTAAAGAGTAGAGTTCGAATCTCCTCTCCTACAATTATAAAAAAAAAAAAGTAAGGTTCGAATCTCCTCTTCTACAATTATTAAAAAAAAAAATTATAAATGGCATATGTTAGCTTTGTGAAGAATCAATTTTGAGAAAAGAAGAAGTTTCAAGATTTATGAAGAATTGACACATCAGAGGCAAAGAATTGATTCTAGAGAGACAAAATCTAGAAGGTAGAAATGCAAAGAAGAAAGAATCGATTCTATACGAAGAAGATATCAGTTCTTAAAGCACCAAAATTAAAATTCAAAATCTTAGTGACCAATAAAGAAATGGTACAATTGGATAAGATTGGAGTGTTAAAAATTAAGCTCAAATTCAATTTTTCGTGTCAGATCATGTCAAAGAATTGACACCTTGAGGTAGAAGAATCAATTCTCCATGATTGCAAAGATGTCACCTTTGAACCTAGTTGTAGAAGATTTGACATCTCAAAATAGAAGAATTGATTCTCTAGAGATAGAAAGCCTCAGACTTTATGAAAAACCAACATCTCAAAATAAAAGAATTGATTCCCCAAAGGCAGAAAGTTCTAGACTTTGTAAAGAACCGACAACTCAACAACAAAAAATCGATTCTATATATGTGACAAAATTGTGCAAGCCAGTTGAAACATACGAGAAGTGATTCAAATTTCACTCGAATAGGCAAGAAATCACAAAGGCTATAAATACCTATCTTGAGGATGTTAAAATAGGGATTTGAAGGATTTTGAGTGAATTTGAATCATCTTTGAAAAAGAAAAGAGTGAAAAACAAGAGAAAAAGTTGTGAGAAGAAAAATCTTATCTTTGAGCATGATCAGAACCTAAAGATAACATTTTTATCCTTTAATTGATGTTTCTTGAGCTTAAACCTCCCTTGATTATTCATATCTTTTGAGAATGTTCTAATCTTTCCGATCTTAAATTTCTTTATCAGTCTTTTTAAACGTTTTGAGTTAAAGATTCTTTAGAATCTACTATTGTATTGGTTATACCTCTAAGTAAAAAGTAAAAAAGTTTTCCCTGATCCTTTAAAAGACTGCATCTTGTCTAAAAGTTGTGCTTAAACCTGAAAAAGGTAGTGTCTTGATAAAGGTTATACCTGATTCTGATAAAAGGCATGTATAAAGGTTATGCACTGTTCTATTAAAAGGCATGTTGTAAAGGTTATGCAGATCCTGTTGAAAAAGCAAGCTGATAGTAGATTTAAACTCCTTGTGCTATCAAGGAAGAGGATATAGGCATTGGAAAGCTGAACCTCTATAAAAATCCCATTAAGTACTCTTTATTTTTCTACTCTTTACTTATTCATTTCATAATTCTGTTTTGTTGCTTTATTTTCTTACCTTTTTGAAAAATGGGAAATTTTTATTTTACAACCAATTCACCTCCCTTTTGATAATTTTACTTTAAGCTCATGTTTCTAACAATTGATATCAGAACAAGTTCTTAAGTTTTGCAAGTTTAACCACCTTTGAGAGATCCTGAATAAAAAGCTTAAAGTAATAGCAATGGCATCCTCAAACCTCATTAAAGAAAGACGATCTATGATGCAACCTCCTATGTTTAAAAGTGAAAACTACCTTTTCTTAAGAATAAGGTTTGAAAACTTTCTATAATCTATTAATCTAGATTTTTGGAATATTATTTTGAATGAACCTCATGTTCCTTCTAAAATTGTTTATGGTGGGAAACATGTTAAAACTACAGTTGAATGGGATAATAAGGATAAAGTTGATACAACTAAATCACAAAGCTGTAACAGTTATTTTGCATGCTTTTAGTGATGATGAATTTAATAGGGTAGCTATATGTTCTTCAATAAAAGAAATTTGAAACACATTAGAAAATTGTTATGAAGGAATAAGTCAAGTAAAGGAATCAAAGATATGCATGTTGATACTTAACTATGAACTCCTGAAAATGAAGGATGAAGAATCTATCAAAGAGATGATTGAAAAATTCACAAAGATCATAGAAGGATTTAAGGCTTTGGTAAGAGGATTCCTTAATGCACAGTTGGTAAAGAAAATCCTTCACTACTTACCAAAGTCTTTGAGACCTAAGGTCATTGCCATAGAATAAGCCAAACACCTAAATGTATTTAAGTTAGATGAATTTTTAAGTTCTTTGCTTACTTATGAAATGACCCTTAGGCATGAGAAATAAACAAATGAGGAAATTAGAAAAAAAATAAAAGAGACAAGATATTGCTCTCAAGGTAGTTAAGGAAGAAAATGAAAAGAATATTGAATGTGATGATGAAGATGAGGATGATGAAGAGATAACATTATTGATCAGAAGATTTAATAGATTTTTAAGAAATAAACAAGGAAGCAACAGATTTTTCAAGAGAAAAGTACCAAGAAGAAATCTAAGAGGAAACATATCGGGGATGATCATGAAAATGATTATGTCATTTGTTATGAGTGCAAGAAATCTGGTCATATCAGATATGAATGTCCAAATGCTAAGAAGAATTTTTCAAAGTACTCTAAAAAAAAGCCATGGTTGCAAAGTGGAGTGACAGTGACGAGTCACAAAATGAAAATAAAAAAGAGATAGACAACCTTTATTATATGATAATTGATGATCCCAATGAAGATCTTCTAGATTCTGATATGCAAATGGATAACTCACAATATCTTGATACTGAATGTTTGGGTCACATAATAATTATCAAAGAAGAAACTGTGGATGAGGAAGGAAAATGCAAAAATCCTGTTTTTCAAAATGACGACAATGTCAAAAATAAAGAGCCAATATAGTGTCCAATGGATATAGACTCTACCCCTAACAAAGGAACATCAACAACAAAGTGTCCAACATTCAATGGCAAAGACTATCCCAATTGAAAAATCAGATAAAACAATTTATCCAAGCGAATGATTATGAAGTTCGGAGAATAATCAGAGATGGCTTATGCAAGTTAATTAGAGAATTAAATGAATGGAATGCAAGTCACTTAGACACATTGGAACTTAATGCCAAAGCCATGCATTTTCTCCTTTTTGCACTTGGAAGCAAAGAATACAACAAAGTTTCTTCATGCAATAGTGCAAACTAAAAGTATGGGAAAGACTAGAAGAAATATATGAAGAAGAGGAGCTAGAAGAAAATAACTGTACAAGCAGTGGTAATGAGTCAATTAAGATTCAATCCTCACAACAAAGTGATGAAGCAAGCTTTTCATTCTTGAATTAGGAAGAGAAGGTAAAATATCTATTTGATGGTATGTTTAAATACACTATTGAAGAATTTAAAGAGTTTTTTGATGAATTATTTCATACATATGAGAGAATAAATTTGGAAAATGAAGAAAATATTTCAAATCTTAATGTTGAAAATGAATTTTCCAAAACTTGAATTAGAAAGAGAAAATAAAAAATAAAAAATTGATTTTAAAATATGTAAGATGAATCTAAATGATGCAATAAATGAAAATGAAAAACTAAAAAATGCTCTTGAAAATTATAAAATAAAATTGATTGATTGAGCTTCAAGAGTGAAGCAATTAAATTCTTATTCTAAGTCATTATAGAGTTTCAAAGTTTTTGTTTTACTAGCAAAAAGATCCAAAGAAATTTTGGATACTAAAAAACAAGTGAGAATTTATGTTGTAGGCAAATCAAGGTAAGAAGAAGGAAAACAAAAATGTTTAAAATTGATATCTTTATGTTGAAGAATCGATTCTTCAAGCACAACTTTTTGAAAGAACTCTATCTTGAATGTTCTATCATGACATAAAATGCATGCATTCACTATAAGAAGTCATCCAACTTTTTCTCACTCCTAGGCATAAAGGCAAAGTATTTAGGTTGAATTTAGTGTCTTAATGACTATCATTGAAAATGTTAGAGATTAAAAACACAATAGTCAAATAAAATAAATGTACAAATCAAAGTGATAACATCCATTTAAGGAATGTTAAAACTTTGAAGAAGGAAGGTAAAAGGACAAACAGCTTTTCTTATAAGATTATAAGAAATATTATTAGTTTGGTTATCTCTCATAACTTTACTGCAAGTCTACTGTGAAACTCTCCCATTTCTATTCACCAAAACTTGTTCATCAAAAAAATCACTAGTCATGATAATAAGGCATGAAAACGTTACTATAAACCAACGAGGAGAATCATCATCAAGGTCTAATCATGGTTTTAGGAAGAGCTTCAATAGTCATGAACAAAGACAAAGGTATCATCAAGTGATTCTTGACCAACCAATTGATTTTGATTACTTGAGTATACTAGAATTTCCATATTTAGAGAATCTCAGAGAATAGGGTTGGTTGATAGTTTTAGAAATGAGTAGATCCTATTATGAAAATTTAGTCAAGGTTTTCTACTCAAATGTTGGCACTACTTTCACTGACAATGAAGGAAAAGCATACACTTCCTGGGTCACGTAGGGAATAGAAATAGGT